AAAAAACAATCAAACCAACCTAGCTTTCCTGGCAGGTGTCCTGAGAAGAAGGGGGTGGGGGGAGGGGTCCTTACCTCTTTTTTCTCACCAGTCTGTTCAGCGATCAGCTGGTCAAACACAGCCCCAAATTCTTCATGGATTTTCTGCATTTCATTGATATGACTTGCAACCTTGTTCATAGTTTTGATGGCCACTAGAAGAAAATGGGTCCAGCAATAAAAAGGCTGTTGAGGGACTCCTGGGGGCTGCGCAAGGGGGTAGGGGGCAGGGGGCGGGGCCGAGGACAGAGGGCAGGGCCCCCGCTCACCATCAAGGTGGTAGTGCTCCTCGCTGTCCGCGTCCGTCAGAGCGAAAAGCTCCTTTAGCAGAAGCGGGTACTTGAGGATCCTCTGGATGGGCTTGATGAGGTAAGACTCGAGTGTGGACGAATGCTGCTGCTTCGGGTTCTGGGCATCTAGGAACGCCTTAAAAGCCGCGTCTGTCTTGGCTGGAAGAGTTTAAATACAGGCTGGCTGGGTGGAATGCCCCAATGACTGGCATCCTTCTCATAATGTCACTCACTTACTCCAAGGTGGCTTTGACAGGAAGGCGGCAGTAAAGGGGGGCGGGGCTCTGAGAGACAACTGGAAGGGCCTATCGGATGCATGTTTGTTTATTTGGGGGGAATAACAGGGTGTGAGTTAAGGGATAACAGGGTTTGTAAATCCTACACACTTGGATTTTCAGGGGCTGCTCTTTACTCTTGTACGAACAATGTCTTTTTATTCCGATATTTTGACATCTGGGGCCTTACAGAACCAGGGAGACTGCCCCTCCCAGGGCTAGCCAATTCCTGGAGGTAGTGAAGGACTTTCTTTCACATGCAAACCAACCAATCCAGAGCCCCAGCCCCACCTCAGCCTCCTGTTACTCTGGGCCACCATCACCCGAATCACCTCAGGGCCGGCACCCCAGAGCCCACTGAAATGATTCAAATGAGCCCATCGAAAGGGCTTACCCTTATGTGCCCATTCCTTCCTGCAGAAATCAAGAGTGATTTTCCCCTTGCCCCCTCATCGCCTGACCAACCCTGGTGCTCCCCGTGTGGCCCTGCATGCTGTGGCATGACATTCTCTTGGGGACTGTAACAAACTATCTCTTCCATGGCAGTTGTCTCCTGATATGTTGGCCTCACTCTATCTAGTAAGGAAACACATTTTAAAACATTCCTTACCCTGGTTTTCCTAATCTTTCAAGCATTCCATTGCTGGTAGAACCTCTTTAGAGAAAAGGCAGGGCGGGTGAGGGATGGAAACCAACCCTAGAAGCAGCAGCACTTGGCAGCTCCGGTAAGTGGAGCAAGGGTGGCTGTCCCGCACTGAATGCCTCTTAAGATCTGTTCTATGTTAAATCAGTGTGAGCAGCTATTAGCATCTGTAGGCCAGGCTCGGCTGCCCAGGACTGCGGAGTCCTCTCAAAGGGAAACATACATCTCACCGCATGTAATTCAGGCAGCACTTTTATCTGTGTCCCAGGCGGGCCGAAAAGCCGCCCTGGGGAGTTGTGGGTCCCCAGACAAGCGAAGAGGTGCCTGCCAGGGGGTAATTAGGAAGATAAGGCTGGTACCTTCTCTGTACAGACACGGTGGGGAAGGAGACCGCAGTGAGGGCAACAAACGGGAAGAAGAAAGGGAGATACATCAGAGTGACTTAACAGTGGGCACACGTTTTCTGCAAAAGCTCCTGACCGAGAATGAAAAATGTATTTCCATCTTCAGTGATTAGGAGTATGAGCTAAGATCAGATGTGGTAAAAGGGCATTGTGAAACTCTAAAATGATTCTTCACACTATCTTTATTCAATTAAGAGAAATAGCAATCATGGGGGGAGGCCTCATAAAGATCTTTTTACCCCTTTTAAGCCCTATTAAGAGGAATCAGACGCCATGGGTTTGGCCACCACTTCTCCTCCTTCCAAAGAATAAATCCTTGAAGAGAAAGGGGACTGGGAGTCAGGTGACCAAGTAGCCCATGTGCCAGAGGAAGGAGACCGGGCCAGAGCCCATGCATGAGGAGGAAGCGATGGCTTCCGGGGAACACCCCGAGTCTCAGTCCATATCTACAAGGGACCTAGGAACCCCCCCCGCCAAATCCTCAAGTCCAAAATTATGGCCGTGGGCATTTAACCCATCAACTGTATTTTATGTAGGGCAAACGAGGGTAGGGTTCCCGGCTTCGTGAGCTACTGAACTGTCAATGCCATCCAATCTAGCCGTGAGTCTGTTAATAATCAGATAGGTACTTTTGTTCTCAAACTGTTCTCCTCACTCTCTTGGCACATTTGTCCATTAGAAAAATGCAGGTCACGATAATGTTTCAAGAGATAGTTTTGGAAGCTATGATAATGTTTTCCAGGTGCAAGAAAATATTATTGAATTACGAAAAATCTACAGGGGCAGAATGTAATCTAATCGAATGTTTTAAAACTAACACAAATTGCTCTAAGGACTGTAAAGGGTATATAATTTTACTGTAGAGCAAGGAGTTCTAAAATTGTTACAGTAACAATCCCATAACAAGTAGCATTCCATTAAACTGTAAAAAGAAACATACATACACAGAACTATACGACCAATACAGCACATATGAAAACAGACAGCATGACACGGAGAGTCCCAGGTTCCCTTTACATTTTTGTGCTGACCCAGACTCTCCCTACCATTAAGTGTGTCAGTATCTGGGGCAGGCTCTTCTGTCATCCAGAGACATGCACAGTACTAGTATTTCCCATAACAGGCTTTAAATTAAGTCAAGCTCATTCTCTTTGGCAGCAAAGCATAACATATGTAAATTATTTACATATTCAGACACTGATTAGCAGCTGTTTACATGGCAGCCACAGTGAAGTAGTAAGGACAGCAGGCTGACTTCCAGAGATTCTTTGAAATGCAACCTTCTGTTGGTTTTACTGTTTACCAAGGAAGTGTTTCTTTAATCCTTTTACCTGTCTCCAGCAACCACATGCGGAACCTTCTGGAAACTCTCAGAATGCTCCATCATCTTCCCAAAACATGCAGGAAGGGGAGCGTGCCAATATAAAAATTCTACTCTGTGCTGTGCAAAATATGATTGCAACTTGAGTAGTGATGATGGTGGCTATTATCACCTATCTAGGAACAAAAGCAGGTGAGGGAAAGATGAAACTGCACAAAAAGGTATATGCAGTGTGGTAGGTTATAACGAAATTCATGAAAAAGAGGAATAAAGTAGGGCATTTCTAGCCCTTCTATGTTTTTGCATAACTGCAAAACGACCCTTCAATTCTGGCCCCAAATAGCTGAGACTAAACTTTCATTATAAGAAAACTGACAAGCTGTTAATTCAAGATACTAATGAATGTCATTTCTCAGGACCCTTATTTTGGCTTGTTGGGACGTCTATAGGGCACATCCATTACTCTTAGATTTTGGCCCCAAAGCCCCCAACCATAGTCGGCCACAATGTGGTGAATCTGACAATTAGCATGCCCACCTGCCATCCATCCCTCACAGGCCTTACCTTTCACCAGGACCTTGGGGACCTTTGTGTGGCTGGCGCAGAAGGCACTGTACAGCTTGAAGCGGTCAGCGTAATACAGGAAGGAGCCCCCCAGAGAGAACAGCACTTTCTGGATTGAACGAGAAGAAGCGCAGTTAGTCCAAGTTTGTCCTCATCTGGGAAAATCAGCAGGATGTCTCGTGGAGCTCACATCTGCAGGGAGCTCACATCTGCAGGGAGCTCACATCTGCCGGGCACACCCCACACAGCTTCATTCACACCTGCCACAGCGTTTCTTTGCTCACTGATGGCCTCAAACTGCCTGTGAAAACACACATGGCTTACACATTTATGTTAACAGATGCTGGATTTGGCCTTCTCAGTAATTACAATGGAGATGTCACTATTTTCCAGGCCTGTGTTTCTAAATTGACCTAACTGGGGTGTTTGGATGTTAATAGGAAAATATATATATATATATATGGCATTTTGGAAAGGGCAGACATCTGAATGCTCTCACTAGCTCCAGCTGGGAGGCAGAAGAGACAAATCAAATAATGTAGGAAATGCAAATACCCCCTCAATTAGAAAACACGTATTTCCCTGATCACTACTCCATCCTCTCTAACACCACTCTCTTCTAGCAGGGAGCAGATAAGAAACACGCTTATTAGAAAGAAACACGCTTGACTCTGGGAATTAGGATCCATCTCTCTAGCCCACACCCTCTGCCCCCAAAGACTAAAACATGGGTGGAGCCCTCCCTATAAATAATTTAATACGCCTGAGGTGGAATACCTTTTATCCTACACATTTTATATAAATGTATGAAACAGGCCTCAGAAAAGAATCTTCCATAGGCTATACATTGATCTAGTCTTGTTCAGAGAAAGATATTGCTTATTTGGGCTTAGAAGTATAAGTAAGGTTCCAAGCCAAAAAAAAAAAAATGTTGAATTTGAGTGATAAATCGGGTTCCCAAAAGTGTAATTTAGCTAATGAACAATGCAGAGGATTCTAACAGACTGTCTACTAACAACAACAAAAATGATTTGCTATGAACCACACATAATTGGTAATTAGAGGCCTAAATTGGTTTCTTCCATATTCTACTTTTTCCTTTACTTTTCCAGCACAGCCCTCCCACGGCCTCAACCTCACACTCACTGACTAAAAGGGTTTCAGCAGGGATAGTCTGACTCTGTAGGTGTAGTTATCCTTCAAGCCACATTCAATAATTAAACAAGAAAAGTTGTGGAGGAAAAAAAGCTCTAAATGTAACCTGTCATGTTAGCCATATCAAGTCTTTCATTTAACCTAATATTGACTAAGCACTTGCGTAGCAGCCACGGATAGAACACTAAGGTATTCATTTATTCTTCTGGCCTTAAAAAAAAAACGATCTTGGGCACAAAATGTGCCCAAATATGAGGGGCGTATACCCGGAGACTGTGTCCCCCACATTTCATAGAGCCTCTCCATTGGCTGACAGACATTCCAAATTTCCAAGGGAACATTCTGTCAAAACATATTTGACCTCAGAACTTTTTTTTTTTTAATAGTATTCCCTTAGGACTAATGTTCTGTACAATACAGTTTGAATACTTGAAAAAGTTTTCATATTTTTAGCCAAATAGACAATCAGGATTGAAACAAAGCAGCAATGGCGGAAACCAACAGCGACAGGTTTGAGAGTGAACACAGTCAGAATCCAAATCAGAGGTACTGGAGAGAAGGCCCCGGGCCACGGCTATTCCATGCGCATCAGGTGAATGGAGATTGTCAGACTACACAATGAACCAGTGACATGAGGTCAGGAAAGAGGGTCCCACTTAAATGGAGTTCACAAGATGGCTGCTTAAAAGAATCAACACACCCATCCCTCCCTAGAATAACTGCTCACAATACAGTCATGTTCGTATCACAGTTCTGATAACCAAACTGTCCTGAAGTGATTAGCTGGACCTAAACTCAAAGAACAGGACCCACAGCAGACGCCTGATATATGAATATAATGTTGGATATTTTAGGTTAAAATCAAGTCTTAAGGTATATCTGTATCTATTTTTATTATGTTCCACGTTAAGCAACTTTTTTGATCGGCTGACAAACTACGGGCCCTTACCATGGTGTTGTACTGCCATATTAATTAATTTACCAATTTAGAAAATACATATATTATTACAAACAGAAACTGATGAACCAAACTGGACAGCATAACTGCCCTGAAGAGGAGAGAAAATGAACTCACCCAAACAATTTATGAATATAGCAAAACAAAGTGTATGCAATACTTAGGGCTAAAGTACTCATGCCCGCGACTTACTCTTAAATGGTTCAGGGAAAAAATTATATTCCATGTACACATAGACACACATATATACATATAGGAGACAGGAAAGAAGAGGAAGAATAATGAAAAAAAATGGTCAAATGTTAACATTGGGGAAATCTGGATGAAGAGTATCCAGGAATTCTTGCAACTTTTCTGTAAGTCTGAAATTATATCCAAATAAAAATATATAATTATATATAATATATATTAATATGCTAAGGGTCTGAATATGTGTGTATTCGAAATAGCTCCTGTAGCACAGAGACACTGTAAAGAGACGACACAAAAACATATTGAGATAGAACCTCAGCTCCTAAACTTGTGTGCTAACATTACATAGCCAGAATTCTGCAAGTGTTAGTCAAACTATACAGGGGAATCACACATACATGGACAACGAAACCCAAGTTCAAAACAAGAGCAAAAGTAATTCAGTGGAAAAGGATTGTTATTTCAACAAATAGTGCTAGAAATATTAGATATTTATATGCAAAAAAAAATGAATTTGATTCATACATCGTACCATAACAAATGTAATTCAAAACAGGTCAGAGACCTAGATGTATTGAGCTGTCGGAAAAGTCGTGACATATTTTTTTTAAGTTTTTCATTGCAAAAACGCGTCATGACTTTTCCGACAACCCAATAAATGCCCAAACTACAAAACTTCTAGGTGAAAATCTTTATGACCCTGGTTTAGGCAAAGATTTCATAGAATGACACCGCAAGTAAGAATCCACCCAAAAGGACAAATTTGAAAAACTGGACTTCACCAAAATTTAAAACTTCTGCTCCTTGCGAGACAATGTATGAAAAGACAGGGCTCAGACAAGAAGAAGATAGTACTTACAAATCAAGTATCTGATAAAGGACTTATAATCAAAATATTCAAAGAACTCTAAAAACTCAGTAATAAGAAAACAAAACAATCCAATAAAATAAATAGGCAAATGACTTAGCAGAAGTCACTGAAGAGGACATATTGAAGGCAAATAAGCACATAAAAGATGTTCGTTATCATGTATTGGGGAAATTAAAATTAAAGCCAAAATGAGGTGCCACTACATACCTGTAGAATGGTTAAAATTAAAAACAGTGACCTGACCTCCTCGTAACAACTGGTGAGAATGTACACGGTACAACCACTTTGAAAAATAGTTCGGCAGTTTCTTAAAAAGTTAAGCATACACTTACCATGTGATCCAACCATTTCATTCCTAGGTATTTACCCAAGAGAAATGAAAGCACATGTCCATACTAAAACTTACACACACATGCTCACAGCAGCTTTATTTGTAATTGCCCCAAACTGGAAACAAACCAGATGCCCGAGAAAGGGGAAAGGATAGCAAAATGAAGTACATCCATATGATGGAACATTGCTTGGCAATAAGAAAGCATGAACTATTAATAGATGACGCAGCAACATGGCTGAACTCAATGTACTTATGCCAAGTAAAAGAAGCCACGTGAAACAGAACATATGCTGCAATGATTCCATGTACATGAAATTCCAGAATGCAAACTAATCTATGGTAACAGGAAGCAGACATGGCAGGAAGAGGCAAGAGAGAGGAATCACAAAAGAGCCGGAAAAAACGTTCAAGCTGATGATTACTTTCATTATCCTGATTTTGGTGATGGTTCACAGGTGCACACATATGTCAAAATTCATCCGGTTATACATTTGAAATACATGCAACGTACTGTATGTCAATTACACCTCAATCAATCTGATTTTTAAAAGTATATGAGGGTGACATGTAAGCCAGCATCGTTGTGTATGAATCAGTGAGCTTAGTCAATTGCAAGTGCAGCAGAGGGAATCTATATGGCATAGGAAAGACAACCAAGGGACAGGAAAAGCGCTATGAGCACCCTCACTAAGGCACCAGGCAGAAATCCTCAATACGGCAGCAAGGACACTGTGTGCTGGAAGGGTGTCTTCCCCATGGGTAACAATAAGTATTTCCATTCAGCAGTTTCCCAGAACAGGATAAATTAATTTGTTCACTGGGAAACCAAGCGTGCAAGTATAACTTGCTAATAACAAGTATTAAAGGCCCCTGTATAGACAGAACAAAAGGTCAAGGTTGGTACCTCTTCCAAAGTAGAAGCCAGCAGATGTTCCCGTTTAAGGCAAGTTGATGGCACTAGTTTTACCTTAGCCAGACAAGCAGGACACAGTCAGTCCCCACCCCGCTCCCAGGATCCCCTTAGGAATTGACCCTCGCTGGCAGTCCAATGAAGACTCAATATCACAAGCACAAGAACTCATAAAAGGGCATGATATATGCCTCCTGTGATGTATTATCAGGAGATTCAACTTGACCTACAGGATAAGCCAACCGAGACATTAGGGCAGTTTTACATTATTCAAGGATGTGACTTACTTTAAATTGATCGACTTTCTCAAGCTTCTCTAAATCTGGTACCAGTCTCACCCCATCTTCTAGAGTTTTAAGGAATTCTACTTGAAACTCTACCATTTCGGTTAAATTTCCAAAAAGCACATCAAGCTGGAAAACGAAAAAGAGTTTAATCCACCTCATATATCATCAGTATTCAGAAACTTTATTTGCTTCTGATTTGAAAGTTTTTCTAACAACACTCATCAATTAATATAATGGTCCCACCACCAGCGGGTAGGGGCAGCTCCTTACTTTCTGAGTGCAAACCAAGAGCTTCACAGGCAATATTTTACCTGTTTATTACGATTAAATAAATTAAAATGCTTTCAGTTTGTGTGCACTCCCCACTCCTTTTTCCAACTCCAGTGTGACCCTCACAAAGTTAAGACAACTTCCACCATACCTCATCCTGGGTGAGAAAAGTTTCCTTCTGAAGAGGTTTTAGGTATCTCTCCATGAGACAGTTTAAGTCCTAAGGGTTGAAAGAATACCTCATTAGCACATTTAAAAGTCTAAAAGTCTATAAAGAACCAAAAGAGTAAAAAAGAAAACCAACAGATTATGTCCCAAATGCTAATTTACAGACTTGAGGTTACTAAGGTCCATTAAAGCAGCAGTGAGCCGACCTTCTCTGTCAATATTTCAGGCTTCGCGGGCCATATGGTCTCTGTCACAATGACTCAACGCTACTGCTGTTAACAGGACGGTGGCAGGTAATATATAAACGAATGAGTGTGGCTGTGTTCCAATTAAATTTTATTTGTAAAAACAGGCAGAGGGCTGGACTAGACCTGAGGGCTATAATTTGCTGCCCTCTGATTTAAAGACTAAAACAGATCATTCAAAATAGATTACACTGTTATAATGTGTAACTAAACTATATATAGAAATACATTCTTATAGTTATAGGAATTGTTAGAAATCATATAGTTATATATATTATATATAAAAATATGTATTATCAGTTATATAGAAATAAATAATGTAGTTATAGAATATAGTTATAGGAATATAAGTAAATGTCAGAACAAGTAATAACACAATGAAAACAGAGCTGATACCCTTCTGCCTAGACTCAGATTTTAAAGATAATAAATTTTTCAAAACTAGATTCAATTTTAGTATTAGCTCAACAACATATTTAGGAAGGTCAGAAGGATCACTTAATATTCACATCATCTCCTTTTAGTCAGTACACACACACACACACACACACACATGAATTGCTATAAGAATAGATATGCTTCCTTAAAACATGAAAGAAAATCTTAACATTCAGGATAGAGGCAAATTCTATAGGAGAGACCAGGATAGTCTTCATTTCCATGACTTGACCTTGTTGTTAGTCAAAAGCAGCATAACTATGCAAAGTTCCCCCCTCAGCGGGGGGGGAGGGGAGGCAGGCCCTGCAGGAGAACAGACCTACCTTCACGTAGGTGCGTTCCGTCTCCAGGAGCTCACAGATCACCTTGCGCAGCTTATCGGCGTCTGTCAGCTGTCTCATGGTGGCCAGCTGAGGCCCGGCACAGTCCTGAGGAGACGGGCTCTGGTCACTGGGGTTCATCTCATGTAGGCTGCGGCAGAATGCGGCCACCTGTTCCGTACTCTTCAGAGCACAGTTGAAAAGGCAAGGCAGATGAAGCTATCACTCATTAGAGACGCCTGAACGACATCTGTCCTTCATAACAGTGTTCCTGCTGGTTGATGAACTGCCACACAGGAATTTCATCTGTCCTTTCCCCAAATTACTCCCTGTAGGTGAGAGCTCACTGAATGCTTAAAACAACAGGTGCTGGTCTGATGTATGTAATCCTCCCACATGGTAAGTAAGGGCTATTATCAATTCCCATGTAACGGGTGAGACAATGGAGGCCCAGAGAGGTTAAGTAACTCATGCAAGATTGCACAGCTCTAACGTGGCAGAGCTGGGGTCTGAACTAGGCAGTGTGGTTCAAAGCCTGTGTTCTTAACCACTCTGCAAGAAGCTTACCAATGAGGAGACCGAGCTAGAGAGACGTTAAGTGCATTTTACCCAAAATGCAAAGCTTATTAATTATCAAACGCCCAGTTAAGTGTGCTATATATACTTTGTCATGTTGGAAGATAATTTCACCAGCTAAGATTCTACCTGGCTCTGTTAAAAACTGACACAGAGGCAGCTGTCTAGATAATGACAGAGACCTACATATTTAAAAGAAAAAAGTTTCTACCTCTCCAGCTTCCAGAAAGGCAGAAAGATACCACTCCCCTCTAAGAATAGGGGTGTTGGGTCCTGAACTAGACCTTAGTGGGAGAGCCCAGTCTCCACCTAACCTCTGTCAGGGATGGTTCCAGTGGAAGTTTTAGGGTGCTGGGAGTCTAAAATTCCCATTTTTCAAGCTATGGAAAACAGTTCTCCAAAGCATGGGCTGTCGGCCGGGCAGCTGAAAACCCCATAGTGTCAGTAGTTCATGTGGCTGCATATTGGAATCACCTGAGGGGGCGGGCGCTATAAACCTCCCAATGCCCAGCGCCACCTCCAGATCCATTTAATCAGAACCGCCAGGTGGGTTGTGCAAGTGCCAGTATTTTTTAAAAGCTCTTTATGGAATTACTCCAAAGGTTACTTTGTAGCACCAAAATCTCGTTTGTTAATATCTGCTCAAATACACCACTCTACAAATGATGGATGGATGTCTCCTTGAAGGCAGTGGCTGCCTCCCCATACGTCTCTGCCTGGCTTCTACTGTCTAATTCATCCCTAGGCACCAAAAGTGTTTCCAGTACAGGCCTGTGCACTTAGAGAATTACTTCTATCACCCACCTACCCAGGAGGAACATGGGAAGAACATCCCCCAAAAAACAACAGTTGGTGCCAAGAGCTGAACGTCAAGGCTGGCACTTTGCAGAGGGCAGAGGAGCTAAGACCAAGTGTATTCCATGGGGGCAATTTTTCCACCCAGAGAAAGGCAGCTAACATTAACGTGCCCTTCCTCGTTAGCATGGCTCAAAAGGGAGTCTGGACTAAAGACAGTACAAGGACACGGGAAATCACAGCCTCCCAAGGATGCATCAGTGTCAATGTCATGACAGGGACGAGGAGAGCAGCGATGCAAATCCATAACTGTGATTCCAATTCTCTGACCAATCACCACAGTTAATTATTGTTCACATTAACACGGGTCTTACTTGCCAGAAAGCATTAGTCAACTGTCAGTGACACTATTCAATGTTCTCTATGGAATTGGTGTTTCCGACACTGAATATTCCCACAGAGAATGATCTCTTTGGTGACAAAAAAACAATCACAACAACAACAACAAAAAACCCTCACCCAAATGCACTGAATTGTATGGTATGTGAATTATAGCCGAATAAGGCTGTTACAAAAGAAAAATTACTTGTTTTTAATCAAAACTTGTTTCAGTAGATATAACCTAAACAGTTCTACTTAGTTATGTTAGGGTTTTACTAACTCAATTTTGTCCTTAAACATACAGTTAACTATAGCTTTGTCTTAAAAAATTAAAAAGGCACAAATAGATCCATTTAAAGAAAAACGTTCATGCATCTTTTAGACGATCCAATGATAACTGTATAGGCAACTGCACGATAATACAGACACGATGGGGAGGAAGAGAGGAGAGGAACCGCACCAAAATGGAAATCCTATGGGCTGATGGCGATAACCGCTGACAACTAACTGCCCCGCCCTCCAGCTTATCCCAAACTCCGCCTTGTTGTGGAGTTGGCACTTGGCAAACGAACCTATCTATCTCAACAAATATGTAACTGGCACCTGCGCTTACACAATGCTTTTCTAAACATCCCAGCCATAAGCACCGCTGCCTGTCACTTACATGCAAACTAACATCATTTAACTCATGATAAATAAAGCCATCACCGCATTCCCATCAGAGAAATGTCGCACCTTTCCGCAGTTTTACCATTTAGACAAGTTGCCATCCAACTTGTGATAGCCAACTTCCTCGTGTATCACACCAAGGATGTCCCACACTTTAAGAAACGGCAAACGTTATAACCTTGGGACTCTGGACACATATTAAAGGCAGGAAGTTCCCAAAGCTGCTTCGCCTTGTGCTCCCAATCCATACCCGACTGACCTGCTGCCATTCTCGGCTGTATCTGGGCTATAATAATGGAAGGTATGGGGTGGAGTTCCGGGTTTTCATTCCCTCTGTGTCACCATCAGGGCTTTGAGATTTCCATTTTTAAGAGCGTGAGTAGGGTTCCTGACTTTGCCTGTGTCAAGTTCACCGCCTCTCAGGTCTGACATCCTTAAACAGGCCCGTGGGGAAAGCCCAGGTTAGTGTGATGTGGGCAAAACCTCTGGTTCTCAAACCCAGCATCTCTCACCCAAACTCTCCTACCCAAGCCAGGCTACTCACTTTTCTCTCCCCTGAACCAAGTCCTGAATTATGTTAGGAGAGACCCTCCCAATGGACACCTGAACATTCCCAGAGTCCCCAGGCATCCCTTCCTTCTTCGATATGTTCCTGAGCTTAGGATAGATTTAGCCAGGTGGTTTCTGAAGTTGAGGAGGAGGCATTCTCTGGTTCAAGGTATAAGCTCTCAGGTTAATTACAAGGAACTAAGCCGAAATGGAGGTAAGCTTTGTACTATCCATTCCATGTTATTTTAAGAACTTAAAAATACAGACTTACAAGTTCTAATGCATCTATTGTCAAAGGGTGTCATTTACAAGGCTCTTAATACAACTTTTGCTCGGAAACAATTAACTGAAAAGAATGTCATTGAGTTTGAGAATTTTGTTTTATCAAAATATTACCCCCAAAATATCCTTACAAGCAAGCAGGAAATGTGGGTCTCCTTTAGAATACTGCTAATCTAAAGATTTGATATATTTCAGCCCAGTTCTTCCGTCACCCTGCCCCCACAGTGTGGCCAAACTTCTTTACATCAAAATCCATCAGCTTAGCCATGAGGAAGCGTGTAAGAGAAGCTGAGTGCAGGGCTATTCCCACTCCAACACTGAGGGTTACATCCTGGTCACTCTCCACCAGGCGCTGGAGCCAGAAGTGCCCAGAAAGCTAGCTGCTATGGGAGGTTCTCAGCACACTCCTGAAAGCCAAGTTTCCTGCAACTGGGACAGGTAAGGGAGGGTTGCTGAGAAGGAGAAGGCAGTCAAGGTTCAGCCAATGGCAGAAGTACAAACCTCTCCCCACTTGAGGCTGCAATCAGTCACCTTGGAAACAGAAAAGCACTTTCAGCATTTCAGGGCTGCCAGTTTGAAACTGTTAAAGGGCAGAAGAGCTGTCCCCCTGTCAGGACCAAGAGTTATCCAACCAACACACAGAGAAGAATAGGACAATTACAGGAGGAAACAGGCCACTTGACTGAGGCCAGCATGAAGCACAATGTTTATAATATCGCTTTCTTCCTGTGGAAGATGAAAAGAAAGTACAAAAAAAAAAAAAAGAGGGGGGCAGGCTTTTAAGTACACACTAGCAACTCAAGCTACCCAGCTGTTTAAGCTCTTCCTGTTATGCAACCACTGAAGGCAATTTCTATCTCCAGGTGAGTTCAGAGTCCTAAAACGGTCCCTTTGAGCCTGAACAATTCAACACATCCCACAGATTTAAAAGGGGCCCGAGTGACCTAAAATCTTATAACCTTTACTTAAGCTTTGCTGGGAGACAAACACCAAAGCAAAGTACTCCATAATTACAGAGACCGTGATATACAATGGTCTCCTTTTGAACAAACTTTGAAGAAGAAACATCCATGCAAGCAAAGGCTTATTTAGATAAGTCAGACATATTCACTGTCAAAGTTCAAGTTTCATTAAATGACACAAAATCTAGGAGTCGACAGGCTCTGGTGTTAAACTATTAAAAGGTTTAATTTGATTTTATTAAA